AATGGTCCAATCTCTTCCAACATCAGTCATTTAACCAATCTGGTTTCTTTGTCTCTTGCAAACAATCAAATCAATGGATCCATACCTTCAGAAATAGGAAATTTAAAGAACTTGGTTTCTCTGGATCTATCTTCGAACTTGTTTGTGGGTCTAATACCAGCCCGTCTTGGACAATTAACCAGTTTGTCTAATTTGTACTATTTGAATCTTGGTTCAAATAATTTACGAGGTTTCGTTCCTTCTGAAATAGGAATTATGACTAATCTATCTTTTTTGAATCTTGGTACTAACAATTTCACTGGTTCAATTCCCTTCACCATACTTCATTTACCCAATCTGCAAACATTGTGTCTTGATTCAAATCTTTTAGAAGGTTCAATACCCAAAGAGATTGGGCATTTGAAATCTTTGCAGTATTTGGACCTTTCTCGAAATAAATTGTGTGGACACCTCCCAACACAGCTTGAGAATTGCTCCCTCTTAAAAGAACTGCATTTGAGCCACAATTCCTTGGGTGGAGACCTCCCATCTGAAATAGGAAATATGAAGAATTTATATATTTTAGATCTTAGTGCTAACAATTTCACTGGTCCTATTCCTTCCACTCTAGGTCATTTAACCAATTTGACCAACTTGAATCTCAATTCAAATCATTTGAAAGGGTCAATACCTTCACAACTTGGGTATTTAGGACACTTGCAACTAGATGGCTTGAATCTCAGTTTCAATAATCTCACAGGCCCAATCCCAGAAACTTTGGTTGGTTTTCCACTTAACTCTTTTATAGGCAACCCAGGTTTATACGGTTATCCTTTTAGCTGCCCCACTACTTCGCCTTCTCCCTTCACTCAACATAGAAAAAATTCCAACAAAGTGTTGAGACATGTTAAAATTATTCTTCTTATCACCATTTCTCTTGTTTTGGTATCTCTGGCATTGTTGTTACTTTCTCAAAGAATAAATGGAGCAAAAAGTAAGGAAGCAATTCTAAGTCCAACAAAAAATGGGGATATGTTCTCAATATGGAACTTTGATGGGAGGGTTGCAT